GACAGACGGAGGACTGAATCGAGGCCGAGGAGTCAGCAATGCCATATTATCCAGGTGGATACAAGGAATGGCTGCTTGCCAAGAAGTGTTTGATGTGATCGAAATGTTCTGCGGCATAAACGATGAGGACATGAAGAAGATGTTAGAATGGTTTCGCAACCATCCACCTTTCTTGCTTTCTAAGGACATATTATTCATCGGTACAGGGGTCATCGGAGATCCCAAAACAATAACTTGCTACATGGCTAAAGAACATGGCGTCGAAAGAATGGAGGACGTTAAGACAGAGGATGAACGGGACAAAAAATTTGGGACTGTCAAGTACAAGAGAAGTGATCGAGGGTAACCTCTAGCAGTTGTCAGCACTGCACTTGTAATTGATGACCGGCTGTTCCCATAAAACCTTTGACTCTCTTCCAAAGAATCAGTGTTGCCAAGCAGTCTGAGGAGGAGTTGCAAAAGTTCTTAACATACGAACTCTGTCCATACCATTTGGCTCTATTTGATGATATGGGCATGAGAAAGGGAACCAAATCGGCCATGTACAAGGTTTTCCGACCGATGGCGAACATCTCTACCTTGGATCATAAAACAATGAATGTGATAGATGGTGGATTCCTGTTACATCGAGTTGTATGGTCATCAAACTGTGATATCAGTCGCAGCTACATTCATTACGTTAAGTGAAAGTACAAGTCTAATGCCGTAATGGTATTCGATGGCTACCCAGATGATGATCATCTTAGTACGAAGTACGAGGAGCGGATGCGAAGATCTGTTGAAAAGCATTCAGTTGAAGTCATTCTCCATGACGACAACTTTCCTAGGTGTACACAAGAGAGTTTTCTCAGCAACTCCAAAAATAAAGAACGATTTATATCCTACCTCAGGAAGAAGTTTGCCCGAGCCAACATTACAACCTACCAGGCAGTGGAAGATGCTGACACCCTGATTGTAGACACTGCTCAGTCCTGGGCTTCACAAAACAAAAATGTGACACCTCATTTCTGTTGCAGATGATGAACCGCTCACCATTACATCCACGAATGAATATTCACCAGAACCAGGACCCTCGACTAAGGCGTTTTTTTGAGGACAGAATGCTGTAGGTAACTAATACAGGTACTAGCTGGTTGAAATCTATTAGTCAAGACCTATCATAAAAATTGTCATAGGATATTCATTGCTGTAGTAGTTTTCCGTGTAATCTTTTTACGTTAAATAAATATTTCATAGTTTGATGCCTCAAAATTCTTCCTAATCACCAATAGGTTATGGGCCCAGATACGGTACGTGTGCATGAACTGTGAAAAACGTAAAATTCAAGTAAGTGTTGCAGATCGCGAAAAGTTCATTGCTATTTTTTTATTTATTTGTTGAAACTAATATGGCAGAGTCTTCTTCAAATCTCCATTTAGGATTTGAGAAACTTAATGTTCGGGAAAATTATAATAATTGGAAATTTGGCATGAGAATGGCCTTGATACATGAAAATTTATAGCGATATATAGAGGGGTTTTCTGTTGAAGATAAATCAAAGCATAGAGGTTTATCTAGAAGGTTAGCTCTAATACGTGGTTTAGTTCGAGTTAGACTAGAAAACTTTGAAACTATGGAGACATAATATGTCAATGAAACCATGTCACTTGCTCAAAAATTAAGTGACATGGGTCAGCCAGTAGATAATGAGTTTCTAGGAGCAATTTTGTTGAGTGGACTAACCGCAGACTATGATCCAATGGTGATGGCTATTGAAAACTCAAGTGCAGTAATCACAAGTGACTTCATCAAGACTAAGCTTCTCCAAGATGACAAATATGGAAAAGAAAAGTCTGAGAGCATTGTATTCCAAGTATAAAAAACAATTTAATAAGAAAAATTTAAAATGTTTTAACTGTGGGCTGTTTGGTCACTTTAAGAGTCAGTGTACCAAAGAAAGTGATAGCATTCGAGATGAAAACAAACATGAGAAGAATAAGTCTAATCCTAAGAACACCAATAGAAAAGGTAAGCGATAAAAAGCACTTCATACTGTCTCAGGTGGATTGGCAAATACATTCAGTTGATATGTGGACTCGGGGGCAACTTCGCCCATGTCATATAATGCATATTTTATTACCAAAGGTGACAGTGAGATTTTGGTAGCAAATAACCAAAAACTGAGTAGTGTTGGTGTTGGGAATACAACAGTTTTCACGAAATATGGTTCCAAGGTGATTTCCAACATTATGTGTGTTCCAGATTTAAAGGCCAATTTGCTATCAGTGAGTAAAATGGTGGAAAAAGGTCATGCGGTAACATTTGACAGCAACGGCTGCCAGATATATGACAGTGAAGATTTCCAAGTTGAAGGAAATATGGTAGCGACTGAGTCCAATAAAAATGGGCTTTATCAGCTAGATTTAGTTAATGAATGCACATATTTGACTAAAACTGCAAGTATGGAGGAATTATGGCACCGAAGACTAGGACACTTGAACAGAATAAGTATGTCTTTGCTCAAACGTGGTTTGGCTACTGGTATTGATGACTACAAGGATGAAAAAGGTGATCAATGTACCATTTGTCTTAGAGGGAAGCATTGGAAGCAAAGTCGTCAGCCTTTTAAAAAGAGAGGTGGTAGGCGTGCCAAAGATTTACTTGAGCTGGTCCATACTAATTTGTGTGGCCCAATGCCAGTTTCATCATGGAGTGGAGCTAGATATATATTCACTTTAATTGATCATTCCAGGAAGATTTTTGTCTATTTTTTAAAGTAAAAAAGTGAAGTTCTTTCTGTTTTCAAAGATTGAGACGTACTCAAAGATCTAGAAGAATTAAATCATTCCGGCGAGCGAGCCTTGTTCAGTGCAAGAAGCCTTAACTAGTGATTATGGTAATGAGTGAAAGCATGCTATGATGGATGAAGAAATGCAATCAATGAAAGAAAATGATGCATGAAAACCAGTGGACATTCCTAAAGACAGAAAAGTCGTACAGTGCAAGTGGGTTTATCGAATAAAAAATGGTGTGAATGGCGAAAAAAAATTTAAAGCTCGTCTCGTAGCCAAGGGTTTTACTCAAAAATATGGTGAGGACTATAAAGAAACATTTTCTCCAGTGGTAAGAAATTCAACCATTCGTTTATTGTTTGCATTGTCTGTGAATTTGGATTTGGAAATAGATCACATTCATGTCACTACAGCCTTTTAAAATAGTGACTTAAATGAGGAGATTTTCATGTCTGAGCCAGAAGGATATGTTACTAATAAAAATAAAGTGTTTTTACTGAATAGAGCTATTTATCGTCTAAAACAAAGTTCCAGAATGTGGAACAAGAAAGTTGAACAAATCCTGGTTGGTTTAGGATATAAAAAGTCTCAATATGAAAGTTGTGTATGTTGATGATTTTGTAATTTTTTCGAATAATGATATAGAAAAAGATAATTTGAAGAACGCTTTGTCTAAAAATTTTAAAATCAAAGATTTGGGTCGGATCAAAAGTTGTCTGGGTTTGAATATAAAATATGACAAGTTGAATCATGAAATTAGAATTAATCAAAAGGATTATATTTTGAAATTGTTAGACAAATTTGGAATGGCCAAGGCAAAATCGGTAATAACTCCAATGGAAGCTAACTTAAAATTGGAAAAAGGGCTTAACCCACCGGATGAAAATATTCCATATCAATGTTTGATTGGGTTATTAATGTTTCTTGCAGTAAATTTACGTCCTAATATAGTTTTTGCAGTAAATTATTTAAGTCAGTACAATAATTGCTATACAAATGTTTATTTTTATCATGCAAAAAGGGTCTTACGTTATCTAGATGATAGGCATTTGTTTTTTAAGAAAGATAATGAAAATGTTTGTGGATATTGTGACGCAGATTGGGGAAATGACATTAATGATAGAAAATCATACAGTGGATATGTTTTTAAGTTGGCTGGAGGGGCAATTTCTTGGGAGGCAAAGAAACAAAGTTGCATAAGTTTATCCAACACTGAAGCAGAGTATGTTTCCTTGTCATTGGCCACAAAAGAGGCTATTTTTCTTAGGTATATTTTAAATGAGCTTCTGGATTTGGACAGAAATTAGTAGTAAATCCTATGTTTCATAATCGTACTAAGCATATTAATGTCAAATACCTATCATTTTATAAGAGAAGCAGTTGAGAATGGAAATATTCAGTTAAAATACAGGGTGTCCCACGGTGGATGGCGTATTAGACGTTTATGGATAACTAAAAAGCGGATCATTTTGAAAATTTGGCAACCGGGATAAACGACCATGATCTACACTTTAAAAATATTTTTGACCATGCGGTGTTGCCGCTTCTACTCTAAACTAGTGGCAACATCACTATTTTAAATGGAACACACCATATTAAATTGCATATTTGGATTCTACGTAAAATTCTGAGCAGATTTCATGTAATATACCCTATACCTAAGTTCAACTGTTTTGGAAATATTGACAGTTGAAAATTGACTTTTTGCAACTTTGACATGAAATTTTAATAAATTGTCAAATTTCGGCTAGAGGCGACTACGATAGCGCGCAGCAAAGTTGAAATTCGGACGCAGCACGCCTGAAAATATAGAGATCAGTCATAAAATCAAGCCCGGGATTTTTTCTCGCCTAAATTACCAATTTCCTGGACTAAAGTCAAGACGTTATAGTTACAAAGCGGCTAAGGATTACAGACCCATCAGACTATCCTCATTTCTTCTTAAAACGCTGAAGAAATTGATGGACATATTCATTAGGGGTTAGTGAAGAAAGTGCCCATGCGTCCTAATCAACATGCTTACAGGACTGCCATGTCAACTGAGACTTGTGGCAAGGCTGGAGCGAGGAATATCTCACAAGGTGGTGTATTTCTAGACATCGAAGGGGCATTTAATAACACCTCCTTCCACTCAATACATAATCCTGCAGAAAGCTTTGGCATAGAGAACACCATTGTCAAATGGATCTGTGTCATGCTAGAAGGCAGAATCATTACAAAAATTCTTACCATGGCAATCATAGCGAATCCAGACAACAACTCTGATGTTGTAGCAGTGGCTTTCAGTTTCGCCCTCGATTTATGCAACCGCCTCCAGGACAACCCTTCGGGAGTATTTGAGACCATTTTCGTGCCAGTTTTGTTGGTTTCAATGTCGTAACATTTACAGTAACACTTGGAACTACTTAAACTCTCCTCATCGATGCTGGATTGTACCTGAGAAAGAAAGAAAAATATTGAACTAAATCAAAGACTGGAAGTGGTTTTAGTTCCCTGAATACTTGCTTTTGAACTCTCTGTAGAATTTTCTATATCACGAGGTCTACTTACCTTTGGAAGTGGTGGTGGCGGAGGTATATACAATGGAGACGTCCTATAACCACCCATTGATATTGTACTGGAATCACAGGAAAAAGGCGGAGTTCGTTCTCTGGATATCGAACCCATAGAACTATCGGCGCCTGGCGATAGCATTGACTTATTGTAAGCTTCGACGATGTTCAACGATCTTGGTCGGTTGTTGTTGTTAAGCTTTCTGAGTTGACCCCAAGAGTTGTTAAACGATCGCGCGTGTTGAGCATAAAATAGATCTCCAGAGGTGTTGTGACGTTTCATTTTTCTGTGTTGATTCTTGATTGCTGCTGAAAAGTTCACTTGGGTCGATTGGTCCATTTGGACACACTGGAACAATACACTTTAATAAATATCGACTGTTAAAAGCAAAATTTTCAAAAAAAAAATAAAATTATTATTCCATGTCACTTAATTGCAAATTCACTTATAATCTACAACAATTTTCTAGTATTTAATTGCATAAACATATCATTTTCTTTTTCCAACTAACAAAAGCGTCCCGGAAATACGAGAATGATCAAGTTACAAATTGCCTATATATGTAATATTTTCAAAACTAAAATAAAGTAATTACGTTTTTCCTTTTTGGGCTTTGAATTAATTCCTATTAACGACTAACGTGTGTTATTAGTATTATTGCAATGTAATGGAAATGGAAATGATGTAAAGAATTATCTTTTTGGAAATTTCAGAGACCGATCTGTCTGGATATTTTAGTGTCCATTCAATTGTACCTGGCTAGAAAAAAGTTCAACAAACGCATAAGAGTTCTTAACAAGTTTCAATGTAATAATTTCTTAAACTTTTTCGTAGTGTTCTATTTTTCAATCAACATTTTATTCATGAATCATTAAAATTCAATAATTAATTTCTAGTTTTTTTGCCAATAATTTGATTATACAGTTTTCGTAAATCATATATTAAAAAAACCTATCAATTATCATTACATGGGTACAATTTTAATTACATTATAATATTGGCTTATTATTGTTTAAGTAGAATTTGATTTTAAAAATTACTCATTGCGTCATAACTCATAATTATTATCATTTTATGTTCAATTTTTTTTACAGATTTCACAATGCCTAAAGAACTCGTAGTTAAATTGAGTAGATTCTTCAAGGAAAAAATTGATTTGGAAAACTTAGCCAGTTCGGATTTGAAAATAAAAAAAGAAAAAATTGAAATTCGTCCACAATCACCTGAATTTGAATTCAAAGGATTTCCTATAGACGAAATATTATACGCCGAAATTAAATTGGATACAAGTAAAAATAAGGACGTATTTTTGGGATTCACTTCCACTGAAAGGGAAACCTCGAAAAAAATTGCCGATGATAGATTTGTAAGAAGTTTGGAATCAGGCAAAAATGGATTTTTAGGATTTTCAAAAGAAGACGTATTGAATTCCCTATCGATAGAATCAAATGTAATAAAAACCGACGAAAGATTACGTACGGAGTTATACAAAACTATCGACAGAAGGATATTGAATAATTACAAAGATAAAAATATTAAACAACAAATAGTCTGTTCCAAATATTGGTGTCAAGATGGAAATGGGGTTTTGGCATCAAATGGAAGAAAAATAAACAAATTTGAGGCTTTGGATAGAGAAAGTGGTAAGGATTTTTACTTTAAATTGATAGAGAATTGGGTGTTGGCCAATAAAAGTATTATTATTATTATCATTGTTAATTTTCAGTCATTGTTATGCAAATCAAAAAACTAAAACAAGAACTGAAACAAATCCGAAAACAGAAGCAGGCCAACTCGGAAGAAGCGAAACTGGAAAAATCTCATTTTGTACAAACCAAAAAGGAACTGATCTTGCCTCAATTCGTACCACCAAAATCACCACATCATTTGCTCGAGGAGGATTTATACCACGATCCGTGGGCCTTGTTGGTCGCCACGATTTTCTTGAATAAGACTGCCTGCTCCACGGCCAGGCCTTATGTTTTCTGGTTTTTGGAAGACAATCCTGATCCGTTGACGGTTGTTAGCAAAGGTGTCAAGGATTTGAAAATTTATTTCGAACCTTTAGGATTACAATCGACTAGAGCTTTGCAGGTAAAATACACGTTTGTCGTTTAGTCAATAAATTTACACATAATTGATATTGTTTTGTGCATCCGCAGTCTTATGTAGAAAAGTCAATTTTTCCTCTACTAATAAAATAATCTGTTTATTATATAGGTCTGGAATATGTCCCACGATTTTCTTTACAAACAATGGACCAAAGTCAGCGATTTGTATGGTATAGGAAAATACGGTGAGGACGCTTTCAGAATGTTTTGTATGGGCGACTTTTCGGTAGAGCCTGAAGACCGATTTTTGAGGATTTATAAGGATTGGATCGAGATGGAGGAGAAAAGGCTTAGAATGAGAGAAATGAACAGTTAGTGTGTCAATTTTTTTTTGTTAATCTCGAGTTTGAATGCATTTTATTAGGCTAAGTCGCAAAATTAACACATAGGTGAATATTTTTGTAAAAAAACTTACTTTGAAATTGTAATGTGAAAATGAGCAAGTTTAGTTTTGCCTATTGCATAGAGCTCAAAAGATCGAAATAAAATTAAAAAAAAAAAAACACATTTTTGGAGAATATCAGAAATTTACATTATGTGTGTTGATTTTGGGCTATTATATCATGCAGCTATACTTTTTAAGGTCAAGAATAAATCTATTTTGAAAAAATAGTCCAGATTGGTAAATACATATTTAATGATAATAAAAAAATAACCTACGTCAATAATAATATGGACAACTAGGATTTTATTGTAACTTATAATAAAATACGTCAGGTTTGAAATAAACATGTTTAAATTTCTGTAGAGTAGTAAAAATAGAAATATAGTTTTTGCATTTAAAAGTTGAAAACTGTATATTGCTATTTTTATATTATTTATTGCTAATTCAAGTGGATTATCTCTAGAGCCAACTGGAAACTATGCAAAAAAAGTTTGCTGGTCTAGAGACAAAAGTCAACCAAAAAGGAGAGTCCAATATGGTCTACCAAACGGACGAAGACGAGTTGCTAAAAGAAACTGAGTGTATGAAACAAAAGGGGAAAGGCTGGGAAAAATGTCGAATGGATACTTTGCTATCAATACCACAAAAGAGCGCTGGCTCTACTGCTGGCACTACTGCCACTACTGGAGAATCGTTCAAGGATTTCAATCTAAAAAAACCGCCTAAATGAATGGCGTAACTGTGTAATAACACTCCTATACCATATTGAGCTTCTAGACAATACTGAGCTAGTTTGAAGACTAAGAAGGGTTAAGCCGTTTGAGATAGTAAACTAAATGTTGACGATTTGCAGCCTTGTAAATAAGTGGAATTAATAAAAATAACGATTTGCTTAGAAGCATTTGCTTGTAAGCGAAAGCTAGTGGTACAAGCAAATTCTTACTTTCATATTAATAACCAAATACTTTTGCCATAAGGATATGCTTGTATGAAAACTGGAGCTAAAATTGATATAGCAAATGCATATTATCTTTTTTTATTCTTGTTTTGGAATTTTATCTTGAAAGAAGTAAACATTCTAGTCCAATACAGGGTGTAAAAAAATAGTGTACCAGACTTCGAGGGATGATACTAAATATGAAAATTAAAAAAAACTTTCTATGAACATATGCCCTAAGATACTTCCTGAAGAAGTTACATCCTTTCCCCTTCAAATGGTAGATGAAAATAATAGATTTTATTTATGTTTAAAAACAGTGGCAAACTATTTTCCTTGAAATTTGGTACCTTTTTCGCATACATTTCGATGCCAAAGCGAATGGTGATAGTTAAAAAACCCGCAACAGTTCTGAAAGGGAAGTTTCCGTAAGGGTAGAAGGGTAGTTACTAACAAAACGAAAAAGCATTCCATCACCTCTCGAAGTCCGGTACGCCGGTACACGATTTTTTTTACACCCAGTATAGGTACGTATGGGTATGTCTTGTTTTCATAGGTGAACATTTCAGATGTAAAATTTATTTTTAATCATGCCGTCGTCTTCATCTTCTGAATTGGATGAGGGTGAAAATAGTGAACTTTTATATATTGTTAACTTGTTAAAAGAGTATCCTGTCATTGGGTGGAATTAATAAAAATAAGCATTTGCTTTTACTACTATTTTTCTCAGTAAATCCTTGGTTTTATATTAATAAAAAGAAAAAGCAAATTCTTTGCAATAAGCATGTGCTGACGCCCACTATAGCATAAGTATTTGCACCACATAGATTAATAAAATTAGGAGTTTGCTAGTGAAAATAAGCAAATGCTTCTAAAAATATAAGTCTGTCTATTTAGTTGGTTTCAATTCTAGCTTTGAAATGTTGAATTCCAATATTACAAAACATAGTTCGTTTATCACTTGCTTCAGTTCCAACTATTATTATTGCATGTTTCATATTACATAACGTAGCAATATTGCGTTATTTTTCTGCACTTTTATCGATGGCACTCGACTTTTATTTATAATGACTGTGTATGTGTCATTCCTGAACTTGCCCCTAAATGCTCTTTTAAAAAGGTAACAATATATAGAAGTTCAAGTCAGAAGATGAAGACGACGACATGATTAAAAATAAATTTCACATCTGAAATGTTCACCTACGAAAACAAGATAGACCCATACCTATACTGGGTGTAAAAAAAATAGTGTACCGGCGGACTTCGAGACGAGAGATGATACTACATATGAAAACTAAAAGAAAGTTCCTACTATGAATATATGTTCTAAAATGCTTTTTCGTTTTGTTAGTAACTACCCTCTACTCTTATGAAAACTACCCTTTCAGAACTGTTGCGGCTTTTTTACTATCACCATTCGCTTTGGCATCGAAAGGTATGCGAAAATACCAAATTTCAAGGAAAATAGTTTGCCACTGTTTTTAAAAATAAATAAAATCTATTATTTTCATCTACCATTTGAAGGGAAAGGCTGTAACTTCTTCAAGATGTATCTTAGGGCGCATGTTCATAGATTTGTATTTTATTTTCATATAGTATCATCTCTCGAAGTTTGGTATTACACACTATTTTTTTACACCCTATATTAGACAAGAATGTTTACTTCTTTTACGATAAAATTCCAAAACAAGAATTAAAAAAAGATAATATGCATTTGCTACATTAATTTTAGCTCCAGTTTTCATACAAGCATATCCTTATGGCAAAAGTATTTGGCAAAACCTTTTGCTTACAAGCAAATGCTTCTTAACAAATCCTTATTTTTATTAATTCCACCCATTATATTTATATTTTTAGAAGCATTTGCTTATTTTCACTAGAAAACTCCTAATTTTATTAATGTATATGGTGCAAATACTGATGCTAGTGGGCGGCAACAAATGCTTATTGCAAAGGATTTGCTTTTTCTTTTTATTAATATAAAATCAAGCATTTACTGAGAAAAAAAGTAGTAAAAGCAAATGCTTATTTTTATTAATTCCACCCAATGAGTAGACTGTATTATTTTCTTGCCCTAGATTTCTGGAATGCCCTATCTTGACAGGCTATTGAAACTTAGAACTCCTAAACTTTTCAATCTTTTTTATGTGATATCTTATCATTCATGCATAGAATTGAAAATTCGAACAATTGAATTTAGGTAGTGAATTTTATTATCTCTAGGCGACCCTTATTGAACCAGGACATAGCCGTCTTAGTTTTTCAATAGGGTTCGTTCATAGATTTATATATAGAGTGTCACAATCTAAAGTTCAGGCTACATTATAAATAGAAATTTCTAACATGCCTCTTGAAGGATTGGATAAGAACTTCAAGCTAGCAAAAATAATAAAATAAGAACTTATAGCTAATCAGAACATTCACCAATTGGGTGGTTATCCAAAACTAAAAATAAAATCCTAATCTAATTACATGAAATATTTTGTTTGATAACATGAGTTTGCCCTGCTATTGTTCATATATGGGTAGTGGACACACCTTAACCACTGACTGTCGAATAATGCCACTTGTTGTTTTAATGAAAACCACGCGTACAATGTTATCATGTCCAGATGAAGGTTTACGATTCTTCCCAAACGCAATTTAGCAGACGATAAATTGCCATCGCGTAGGTACTAATAGCATATTGTACCGATGAAAATATTGTTAGTGTCTGTTTTCCACTTTATCCTTTCTTGTAATTGCCCAATGAACTCTTTGTTCCATCTGGACCAAAAATGTTGTCTTAATTGTTCCAATGTTCGAAATGAGAAAGCCGATTTGTAGTTTTTTCTAGTACATCCGAATGAGGAATTGTTTGATTAGATTGATCAATTAAAAAATGTGCCGGAGTAAGTGCTTCGAGGTCGTTAGGGTCGTAATGGTCTTGAATTTAATATACCTTCAATCTGAGCGACTAGAGTATAGAGGCTTTCGAAAGTGAGTAATCTGTTGACCAAAACCCGTTTTAGATGGTGTTTTGCGAATTTGACACCTGCTTCCCATCAGATACCTCATGATGAGGCGAGTATGCAGGGATGATATACCACTCTACATCGAAATCAGAGCTGCATTTTTCTTGTAAAGACCCTTGATTTTGCTTGAGAAAAATACCAAATTCCCGGAGTTGATTGTGAGCCCCGAGAAAGTTAGTGTCATTATCACTATACACTTTAGACGGCCTGCCCCTTCGAGCTATAAATCTTTGAAATGTTTCCAAAAAGGCAGGTGTACTCCAGTCAGAAACCACTTCCAGGTGCACCGCTTTTGTTAAAAGACAAATGAAGAGTGCAAGATAACATTTGGAATCCTTACAGCCCCTTCCCTTTTTGATCCTTGAACTGAAAAGGATCAGCGTAGTCAATGTCTATATTGGAAAAAGGCAGAGTTGGAGAAACGCGGACATTTGGTATGTTACCTACCCATCAAGAGAGTGACTGGCCTTAGGATTGAAACGACAACATACCACACATTCTCGAACAGTTTGTTTTGCTCGGCTTGTGCCAGCAATAGGCCAATAATTTTGTCTGATATGGGACAGCAGTGATTGTGGTCCACTGTGAAGTAGCATCTTGTGCTCATGTCATGTCTGAATAGAAGAATAGTGAAATGGTGTTTTGAACACAATATAGCAAGGTGCTTTGTATTGAATGGGTATGAAGAGTGTTTCAATCTGCCTCCCACTCTTATAACTCCCATATCGTCACTAAAGGGTGATAGTTTTATGAGTCGACTTTTATTACTAACTGAACTCTTTTTTATCAGTTCAAGTCTTTCAGCGAAAAAGGAATTCCTTTGAGCGATTTTAACTAAAAGTTCGCGGGCCTGGCAAAGTTCTAAAATTGTCAATGGACCACGCCCCCGTTCCGCTTTTTGCTGTGTAGTTTTGCAATAATAGTGTATTAGAATCTGAGCAACTACTCGTATAATTCTAAGAAATGATGAAAATTTAGTA